GGTGCGGGGGAGCCTCGCTGGCTCCGTGGCGACCGTTCCTCCTGCTGCAGCCAGGGCTGGCCGCCGCTGCTTGCAGGCAGAAAGGACACAGCGCTGTTCTCTCGAGAAGGGAGGAGGAGCTCTGGGTGTCCCCTGCTCTGAGGCTGCACGGCCGCTGCTTCTTGCAGGCCCCGGGCACGGCTGGCAAACCCGGTTGCCCGACGTCGGGCCTGTAAGCCTGCAGACGGGCTCCTCGGCCTCACTAATGGACGTGTTTTCAGCGGTGTTAAGCACACGGAAATCCCTCTGAAGCCAATATGAATTGGCCAGTCTCCGTCCCAACACCTACTAAGTCATTTCAGAAATCCAGCATGAGCTTTTTTTGCCTCATCCTTTGACAGAAGCTTTCATGTTCTGCACCGATACTGTTGCTCTTTATTTCCACCTCAAGAGGAAGCTAATATATGTTACTTGAAGTTGCTCCTGTGGCTTTGTCCTATGCTAATTATTTATACAATGCTAGGTCTTGAAGGTGCCAGCTGGGAAACACAGGACAGGAAAAAGAAAGGTTTGAGTCTGTCCTAGCTCTGTTGAGATGGCTAGTTTATGGCCCTGATCCTGAAAACACATGGTTATTTATCGTAGGGCCTGATCCTGCCAGGGGGACAGCCGCATCCTCTTCCAGTGCTGTCACTGAGCAGAAGCATGAGCCTGCAGCCCTGAGTAGCCCCTCGCTGGTTCCCTGGTACAGCTCTGGCTTTGCTACAGGACAAGTCCTTTTGTGTGGGTGTAGCTAGCTTGCTGTAAAACCCTAACAGAGGCAAGACTGTTGTTAAACAGATCATCAAAATCAATTCCCTGTAGTGCAGTGCCACTGTTTGTGACCTATTTCTGCTGTTACGTTCCAGTGAGATGGCCAGGCTTGTGGGGAGAGGTGGTAGCTGCTGTTAGACCAAATGAGTAAGCTGGAGGGCGGAAGCTTTTCATGGTCTGAAATAGGAGTGCCGATCTTTAAATGCAATTTAAGAACAATTACTTTGAATGTAGTGATGTTAATAGGCGAGGCGGTCTGAGGAAGAAGGTGATTGATAACTTGTGGAGAAGAAGAGATGTTAGCCAAGGAAGAGGTGGTGAAACTTGTTAGCTTCTCGGGAGCAGGGAGGAAGACTCCGTTATCATTCCAGGACCTGTGGGATTAGCTGCAAGGCAGAATGTAAAGAGGTAGTGCTCTCGGTGAGAAAACTCACTTTGCAAGCGTGCCTGACGCTGAGCCTGCGTCCCCTGTGTTCAGCTTTGGCCTGCTTATTTGCATAAGGTTTAGCCTCCTTGCGTGTGCAGGTTTGGGCATTGTGTTAACCACAAGAGTTTTTTAAAACAGGAAAGAATTTTGCTAATATTAGTTCAGCTCCACTGATAGCAGGAAAGCTAGTGATCCGAATGTGGGTTGCCTGCTGTGGCTACTGTGCAAGCAAGGACGCTCTACTATGACTAGTTGGAGCACGGTATCAGGTCTTCTCTGAGTGTATTTCATGGGGTAGTGCTTAAAATGGTAGTGGCAGCTGCTACCAGCCTGCATGAGAGCTCTTGATGCTGGTTGTGTCACCTGAGATTTGTTAGAAAATTACTAATACCCTCAAGGGAGCTGAAATAGAAAAGGGGAAAGGAGGGGAGACTTGCAGAAGATGAGGATGGAGATTTTTTGTTTTCATTGTATCGGTTTCCTTTTTTGGTTTATTTTTGTGTGTTGTGTTTCAGGTGTATGAATCAGGATTATCAGTAGGAGTTTGGCCTGAGAAAACTCCTGGTGAGGAATGAAGCAACATCCCTTCCTGCTCTGTTTGAGGAAGGGGTGGGCAAGAATAACGTTTTCAAAAGATATCCCAATAAATAAAGTCAAGTTAAATGCAACTCAGGGGTGAAGTTTCCCATGATTCTGTTTCTTGCTTAGGAACTGCTGCCTTAGTGGATTGGGGGAGAAGATGTTTTAAAAGTTAAAAGCAGTTAGGGATGACCCACTTTTATGCATGCTTTGTTGACATTGTTGTGTGTCCGGTGCAGCCTTTGGGTCTGCGTTGGGACTTGCTGAGCCTGAGCGGCCCAGCGTGTATTCTGGTTTCATGTACAAGTCCCATGCAGCCCTTGCTTATTGAATTTTAATCAGAATTTGGAAAATTTCCTTTCGCTGAAGTACAGAACTGGAAGGGACTGCGAGAGGTCACCTATTCTTCCCTCCTGATTCAAAGACAGGATTATATATACTCACACCCCATCCCAGGCCAATGCTTATCTGATCTGCTCTTCTGAATCACCAGTAATGGGGATTCCACATTCTCTGTATTCCAGTGGCTGGCAGTCCGTGCAGTTGGGAATTTTTTCCTGTCTTTTAAAATTCAAAGTAATATCCTGTACTTCAGCTGAATTAAAACAAAATAATTATTTCTTGTAATTTATATACCACTCCTTTTAGTGTGTCCCCAAATGACATTTGCCTCTTACACAAGGGCATTTGAGTTGTTGATTGATTCTCAAATTTATCAACTATAACTTTACTCAAATTGTACTCTTAAGTTTACCATCTTTCTGAACTGGGTCGCATCTGCAGATTGTAGAAATCTCCTCTTAGCCTGAGAAATACAGAGTCTGCTTTGGAGATAATTTCTAGAAGGCAGGTTACTACCATTCAACTGAAACGTGCATGCAGCGCAATCTCACACCCAAGCTGTAGTAATACAGAGAATTGTAAGTATCAATAAGTAGTGCTGATTCAGTAAGTACACACCAGGATTGTACAGGTCAGGAGAACTGAGTAAGACAGTAATCACAACTGAGTTCTGATGGCATCTCAGACTAATTGAATTTCCCTTTTGGGACTTTCTGTGGCGTACTCCAGCAATTCTGGCAGGAGAGTTCTCCGTTATTGTAGAAAGCCGTTAGTCTTTCATAGAATGAATTGACAACTCCATTAGCAAAAGATAAAGGAAGGAAGAAAGGATGGTCTCGTGGTTGAGAAACTATCTTGGGACCCAGGAGATCAATACTTAACTCTGCCACAAACTACCTGTGTGACTGTCGCAAGGTATATAGGGCTTAGTGTAACCAGCCACTAAAGCCATGTTTAGCTTTAAATACATAACTCGTTCTTCTGTCTTCAACAGATCTGCCTTCTGAGTGGTTTATTTAAGCAGTAGTTGGTTTTGTACACCATCTAAAACAACAAGGCTGTGACCACATATACAATGTAAGTGAAAATGAATAATAGTCATCTTGCATGCGTGATCGACTTCAGGGAGAAATATATTCTTGTTTATTAAGCTTTTCCCTTACTGTTTCATGAATATTGTTCACATTTTGTTTGTCTTCCCCTCACCTGCAAATGGACTAATGCTAGCGTTTGAGGACTATTTTCTTAGGCAGGTGGTAAAAGACAATCATCCAAATAAAATGCAACTTTCATTTCCCTCTTTGTTATTGGGTCTGTAGATCAAGGGTGTCTTCAAAAAACCTGCATGAGGTAGTCTGTCATTTTTTGATAATGGAAAATGAATACCAGAAAGCATGATGCAAATAATTGCTCTTTTTCCCCCCTCTTGTAGTAACGAGTCTTCTTGAGAGCATTAGAGAAGAAGGGTGCACTCACGATGGCTGCTGAGTTGGATTTCTCCCCACCTGAGATCCCTGAGCCCACATTCATGGAGAATGTGCTACGCTACGGACTCTTCATTGGAGCCATTTTCCAGCTTATCTGTGTGCTTGCCATAATCCTGCCAGTTTCAAAGTCCCATAAAACAGTAAGCAGTGCTCTTTAATATTGATATAGATGGGCAGTCAGAAAAAATAGGATGGGAGGGAATTTTGAGTAGCTGATGGAGACACAGCGGTCTGCCCCTGGGATTGATGACAGTTTCATTGTTCATTCTCTTTCCTTCCTTGTAGCTTTCCCACCTCCAGCTTTTGTCTTGTGATTTACCCCAGATTAGAAAGTCAGGAACAAATACCTGAGCGAGGGTCTCTCTGAATATCAGTGAAAAAAGTGACCTGAAGCACTGGCAAGGTGTGCTAAATGTACATGCACACGAGAAGGCTTTAGTCCCAACCCCATATTGTCATCCTGCTGCTGATTTGCTTTATTAATTGTCAGGCAGGGCATCCCCTTTGCAGGACCTGCCTTTCAGGAAATGACTTTGGGGTCTAGTTTGGGTGCGATTTTTGGAAACAAGATACAGGTGAAATTTCTAGTATATTCTAATGTGAGGAAGGCAGTTTTCAGTACTGACACCCAATCCTGTGCTGGCAAGTGGAGGGTTAGTTCAGGAGAGGTTAAAGTGAAAGGTTGAGGTGAGCTACAGGACTCCGATTCCTCTAGACTGGGCCATGGGATGACCTGCATCTACCTGGCTTTTCTGATAAAAGAGCTCCATGTGCTTGGTAGTGTCTGTCATGCTGGGGACAGATATTTCCATGTTGGTGATCAGGCTGCAAGTTTGGTGGTTTGATACAGATTTTGTCTAAATGTGTATGATATATTTTCAGTAACAACTCGGCATGGGAAGTTTTGTTTTCAGGCTATCTTTATTGCCATGTCTGCTCCCTCTTGTGCAGAGGAAGCATGGAAATTTTCAGCCTGTCTGGGGAAGGGAACACCTGAGGGTGAGGTACAGTGTGAAGGATACAGTTCATGACCCGATTCTCTCACCTTTAACTGTTGGTGTGATGTGAAGTTGCGTTGATGTACTGGATTAGTGACGCTGCCCTGGCATGCGTGCATGCTCCCTGCTGCTAGTCCTGCCGCAGGAGCTGCAGCTCCCAGCCGG